AAAATCGGTGCACAGACTTGATGAATATTCCAGCCTGACTGACTCATTTTCAGGTCATATAGGTCAAGTCCAAGAATGTAAGGCTTCGTTGTTTTATACAATGGCTTGCAATGATAAGCAAGAGAGCCTGGTGATTTAGGGGCTGGGAGAGAGAGAGGGAGAGAAAGAGAGAGAAAGGGAGAGAGGAAGTGAAAGAGAAAACATGTAGAGAGATGTGAGAGATTTGTGAGAGCGAGAGTAAAGTGAGAGATAGATGAGAAAATGTAAATAAATAGCATTTGGTCCCCTTGCGAGTTCACATACCTTTATTCTGTTCCCATGCTGTAATTAAAAACTGGTGCAAAGCAGTATTCTCTTACTCCAACCAGCACACCATACCATCATCTTCTCATATTTTTGTGCGTCTGAGAAATGATAAAACGGAGAGGAAAGAAAGCGAACAAACACAGGGGAGTGTCTCGTGGGATAGCTCAGTCTTCCTGTCGAAAGTACCCACAACCTAGGATCCAGGAAACTTGAGAACTTCAGTGTTGGGTCAAAATTAATCAATCCAAGCAATCTATTCTTTCCTTCTCTTTCCATCTCTCTCTTTTTTTCTTTATTCTTATTTCCTTTAATACTCATTATTTTGCCCAGCTCCATATCCTATATTACTGAACATGTGGTAATGTTCAAATCCCTTTTTTGTCCCTGTCTCCGGTTTACTTGTCTGTCTCGTTTTTTTGTTTTAGATTTGTTTTTGTTGAGAGACAAGGTTTGTAACAGATCATTAAGTGTCACTTTCTCTCTTATATATCATCTCTTTCTCACTTCCTGAATATGTTTGTAAAATTATGAGGTAATAAAAAATCTAGTAGAAGGTGCAATTAAACTTTTTCTAGTTCAAATAAAAGTGGTCAGGTTTTGCATGAATACAATATTCTTGAAAAGATACTACCGGTTAGGTAATTTTCTGGCTTTTATATATGTACTTTACAAAGACAAATCTACCCCCCCCCCCCCCCCCCCCCTTTGTTCTCCTTCCTTTTCGTAGTCTTACAAATGCACGTAGACAAAAAGTGGCTACAATTATCTACATAAATCAGTGATACTTCTTGGACATGTATTTCTTTTTGTTTGATTTCCCTGATACTACAATGTAGTTGCTTTACTTTTGAACACTGTAGAGTAATCTGAGGTTTTAATTCTATAGTTTCTTTTGTGTCAATATGAACAAAACATGAATTAGCTCTTGAAGAAATAATGCTTTTATTTTCTCCTTTCCTTTTCAGAAAGTTATTCTGATTGTATTAAAGTTTCTTTTATTTGTCAAGTGCATCAAATCTTGCTTTCAAATGTCAAGAAGACTTAAAGTATCGTTGTTGAAATGGAAGACTAAGTAATGGTTTCCTATCTCTCTCTCTCTCTGTAGGAGAAGTATAATCCTTGAATTCTCCTGAAGACTATCTGCATTCTCCATTACTATCACACCTCAGAATTCCCTTGACACTGAGATGACTACCTTCAAAAGGCAAATCACATAGGTGCACTAATGAGAGCGAGTCTAGTTCTCACAGCTCCGCTCCCCAATTAAAAGCATATTTAATATACATGAACAAACCCTTGCAATTTTCAGAAGCCCTGGAAGACGTATACCTCCTTCGCTTCCATCCATCAAACTCACTCCCCATGGAAAATGAATGATTAATACTCTCACTCTGTCTGACAGGGATGCTATCTTCTTGGCTCTGGCCGTTCCATAATTCCCACTTCCCCCTCCTCGGTGATGCTATGAAGATCATCAGACTATCCTGCTCTATCTTCTTGTTATCGCAATAAACTATTAATGACTTGGTATGCTTGAGCGTTGTCCTGGTGGACTGGTCTACTCACAGCCTATCACTTTTGCTTAAAGGCATTGTGTGTACACAAATCTACTCCTTTCTTTAACTCTCTCCAGACAAGTTTTCTCTTTTATGAACACGTTTCCAAAGGCCAAAACTTTGAATAGTTGTCTTGCGGTTGTTTCACTGAATATAAGGATTCATTTGATGTGACTGAATTAGAATATTTAATCTTTATTTACTCCCAGAAATGATCTTGAATTATCCTTCATACATTCGCAATCAGAAATCTTGTGTTGCACATTTTCAATGTCATTAATTGATGAACATTATGCTTTTATATATTTATAGCATTAGTGTAAGCAGCAGGCTGAGGCATTATTATCCTCTGTATATATCATTAAGAACATACCCTGAGCCAAGGTACAATAATGAAAGTGGTATTTTTTTATGTTGTGTAAGATTCTTCTTCACTTGTTTCACTTACAGACAGACATTAGTTATGTTGGTCATATACATTAGTATGAATGCCTCTTAAGTCACGTTGACACTAAATGACAGAACAATTAACCACACTGAAGAGTGGGAAACATTAGCAGAGTTTATTCTGCAGAGTTTAACTGATTGCTTGCCTACTATACAGGTGTAGACCTTGGTGTGCTCCAGTTCTTCTTTCCTATTCACCCACAATATAACAACTTACGGTTTCCTGCTCTAGCTCAAACCAGAAGTGTGCCACTAAATCAGAGTCATAGGTCAGTTAAACACTGCCCTCTATCAGCACTCTGGTATCATGACTATCAAGATTGTAGTTTCATTCTGTGTGATATAATGCTTGATTTGGATTTGTGAATGGGAGTCATTCTTCCAAGCTAGTCTCATGAATGAAAAGTTCATCTGTTTCAAACTTTATATGTCTTGAAAAGTACATGACATAGTGGCTTAGACTATTTGTGGAACTGATATAGGTCCCTTGCGGTAGAGAAAGGGTTAATTGAAAGTGGATATGAAGAGAGGGTTGTGGGTAAATGTCGGGATTCTGTGAGCAGGGAAATGAGAAAGCTTTGTAAGTCTAGGAGAGCTAGCTAGCATCTGTGACTGTCTTGACTTACAAGACATCCTCAGGAGATTGTGAAGCTAGGAGAGGTCTGAGACCACGGACATTAAATCATACAGTCAGGAAGTAGATTCGAGATTAATTGCAAAATTATTGTATTCTCTTTCAATAACAAGTCTGGGGTTTCAATCTTGTAGCAAGTCAAACTAGAGATATGAATGGTATATTTGATTATCTTAGCCGCATGTTAAATGTTTTGAATTATGTTTTAGGTTAGGTGTGGTTAGGTTTAATTATATCCTATCTTCCTTATGCTACACCAATAACTGTCTTTGATAATGTCTTTAGGTCACAACTATTTAGTATGATATGTGCCTCAAAGAAACTTTACAGGTAGACTGTATACAATTCTATTCACAATAAAATAATTTTACAATGACGAAGAGGCTTCTTTTCTTTTGAACACTGCACTACAAAAAAAATAAACATGAATATTAATAATGGGATAGGTGAAAAGACTGCAGATAAAATTGACTATCAAGTGATTTTGTTGCATTGTCAGTGTTGATAATAAGAATGTAGGATGTTCCAAGAGTATGTGTCTCAGGGGGTTGTGCTTCGTGCTCTATGCTTGACTCATAATGTAGGATAACATGAAGGGGAAACGCTGGCCACAGAACGCGGGCAGGCAGGTATGCTTCAGAGAAAGTGCATGTTAGAAATGATTTCGTCATGCAGGCAGGCTAGGCCCTAATCATTTCTTAAATAAAGGGTGCCACTGTACTTTGTGAAATGTAAGAGTGACCTAATTCAATGCCTGCCCTCTTAAGTCCATCAGCCTCTTGATGTAACCGAAACCATTCCCTTGATGGATCCTTCCCGCTTGCCCTCTCCTTAGCTCTCTCTCTCCCGGCCTCTTCTCCATCTCCCGCTCCCCCTCCACTTCTCCCTCTCCCCTCCAATTCTCTCTCCCTCTTCATATCTTTCTTTCCCTCCCTGTGTCTCTTTCTCTCTCTCTCTCTCTCTCTCTCCCCCACCTACCTCTCCAGAACCTCCTGACGAGGAATCATGTGAACTACACGCTCCCCTCACCCTCTCTTCTCTTCACATGCAACTGGTTGTGTTCTCTTCTCTGTTTTAATCAAATACAACCAAATTACCTCTTCAAATAGCAGCCAGAAAATAGGCGAGAGTGCAAATTCTCCATTAACGCTCGTGCGATGTTGAGTGTCTTGGCTTTTCTTCTATGTTCTATGAATTGTCAAGGCCATTTGCTGCTGAATGACTAAATTACAAGTCTTGCTTGAAGTGGCAAGGCATTTACCATTTCTCTTGATCTGTTTCCCCTTTTTTTTCTTTTTGAGTTTTTCATTCCATTGCATTTTCACCATCATCATCTTGCACCTACTGAACTTCACCACTTGAGTTGCTCTTTGCATTTTAATGCCTTTTCCAAATGCCTGCTACATTAATGAGCGTGAATTCCACATGTGGCATATCGAGTGAAGTGCATAATTTGCTTATAGCTCAGCACCACCAGGGCGTTTTATGACAGTCTCCTTCCTCCGTGAGAAAGAAAGAGTAAAAAGGAAAGAGAGAGATTGTGTGAGAGAGTGAGCGAGGGAATGAACATCATGGTAGAAAGAATTTTAATCACTGTGACATATCAACTTCTCCATTTATTATCTTTGATTCTTCTTCAATGCACATAGTCCTAGCTTGGATATATCAACATGTATAGCGCTAGATTGTGGCAGGGAAAAAAAAAATTTAAGATATTTGCTGATTAAGAATATCAACATGATTTTGTTAGCTTTTTAATTGTCATTTTATAAGAAGCATCTGTTTCAGATGCTGTGCAATTTTTGTACAATTCAAACATTTCAGATTTATTAAATGTGATTGACTTGAGGTTCGGTTTTATTGTAAAGAAAAACATGACATATGTCTGAAGACTAAGATTGTCATATTTACAGTTGAGTACAAAAAACGGTGTTGCAAAATATTGATGATTTCTCTCTTGATATCTATTAACCAACCACCAATCAACCAACCAACTGCAGATCCTATTCTAACCTACGTGAAGCCTGAATGAATATGTGCTTATGATTTTTCTTTTCTTTTTTTCTTTTCTCTGTCTTTGCATTAGATGGACCCTTGTGATGGAGCTCATTCTTCCAGACATTGATGATATCCTTGGTTTCATCCATGAGTAATCATCTATCATCATGGCTGAAGTTGAATCAACCCCACCTACAGAGAATACATCCTCTGGTATAGATGGACCACCCATATCAGATCCTGGACCACCCACATCAGATCCTGGACCAGACCTAGTCAATGATGAAGCAGATTCTAGATCTACCGAAGAGCCACAGAATGATGATGCAGTCCAAGAGAATTGCATTGCTGAAAACACAAATGAAAGTGAGGTGAAGAACTATCTACAGGACAACAAAGAGGATGAGATGACAATGGACATGGGAGCAGAGGATTCCCTTGGTTTCAATGAAATAAGCAATGAGGAAGGTGAGGAAGGCGAGGAAGGGGAGGAAGGGGATGCAGAGGAATCATCAGGAACCGTCCGAGAAGTCACCTGTAGCAAGTGCTCCAATAAGTTCACTGATCTGCAGACATATATGGAACATAGCTGCATCATGACAACCTGTGAGACTAGCTTGGCTGAAGATGATGACAGACTCTTGTCTGTGAGCGGTAATGAAAGTGAACTCAGTGATGCAGAGAACTTTCAAGGAGAGATTGTCTACCAGCTTGATGGCTCAGCGTACCTCGTTGATAGCAATGAGCGATCAGAGAAGGAGGGAAACTCCCTTGCTACAGTTGAGAGTACTCAGACTGATATGAGTAATATGTTTAATGAGCATGGTAATATGAGCGTACTGCCAGGCATTGTGAACGCTTTACACATACCAGGATACATGACCATGGGTAGTGTATCTAGCTATGGTCCAGGGATGTCAGGTCCGTATGGAACACCTATTGTACACAGCTTCAAGGTTTATGATGTCAGAAATAAGGCTGAAAGTGAAGACAACATCGATTCTGAGAAAGAGAACAAGCATAGCTTTGGAGGTGCATCTGCTGGAAAGCCAATCCTTATGTGTTTCCTTTGTAAACTCTCATTCGGTTTTGCCAAATCATTTATGACGCATGCAACTCATGAACACAAAATGACTTTGAATGAGAAAGAGAAACAGATCATGGCTAACAAAGATCAGTCAGCCATCATTCAAGGTTTGGGAAAAGAGAAAGAGCCACTCCTATCTTTCCTGGAACCTAAGGTCAAACAGCAGCAGCAACAACAAGCAGCCCACAGTATAGCCAACCTGAGACTCCAACCTCCCGGTGGTCTTGGGCAGTCTGTGTACTCAAGTGCCAATTCCAATGTAAGCTACATGTATCCTGTCTCAGTCGCCATCAGTACTACACCAAACACCACCACTACCATCTCAACTACCTCAGAGGATGCCTGCACACGCTTGGACACCACCAGTTTAACTACTGATATGCAATATGCAGCAGGATTGCTCCAGAACAGTACTGCTGTGAATGAAGAAAGGCAGGACACCGATGAAACATCCAAAGGTGCAGAGGGCTCTCAGGTGTCTCATCGTCCATACTCCACAGACTCCCACTCTACTGAAATAGATGCTGCCAAGGCAAACCTGCGACAAGAGCTGAATGATCGTAGAATGTCTGCTACCGATGAAGTGGATCCATCTAAGAAATCACCCAACCATGTCCAATATAAAGAGGCTGAACACATGGAAAACACATCAGGATCTCCATCCAACAACAACAACATCAAGGAGGCCTACGGTGAAGGTGAACAGGCTTCCTCAAGCATGGAAGATGAAGATGATATCCCTCACAATCATGATCCATCCGTCACTGGCTGTGTGGAGTGTCCTAAATGTGATATGGTGCTCGGTTCATCACGTTCTCTCGGAGGCCACATGACCATGATGCACTCGCGGAATTCATGCAAGACTCTGAAATGTCCCAAGTGTAATTGGCACTACAAATACCAGCAGACGTTAGAGGCTCACATGAAGGAGAAACACCCAGAGAGTGAATCCAAGTGTGTATACTGTGAGTCTAGCCAACCCCATCCCAGGCTGTCCAGGGGAGAATCCTACACCTGTGGCTACAAACCCTACCGTTGTGAAATATGTAATTATTCCACAACAACCAAGGGTAATCTGAGCATCCATATGCAGTCTGACAAGCATCTGAACAACATGCAGGAGTTACAGAATGGTAGTGATCACATCTTCATGCATCATAAGATGAATGATCTAGCCCAGGCTGCCAAACCCAAGCATAAGCAGACATGGAGGTGTGATGTATGCGACTATGAGACAAACGTTGCAAGGAATCTTCGCATCCACATGACCAGTGAGAAGCATATTCACAACATGATGGCCATCCAGCAGAACGTGTCTCAGATGCAACGAGAGATGCAGAACAACGTTGGTGGTGGTGGGATGCCTACTGAGGAATCCATGTACATGATGCTTGGACAGAATTCCATGCTGCCTGTGATGCATGGTCAGGAACCAAGTATGATGGATATGCAATCATTCATGGCTCAGTATCAGTATGATCCAGTAGCTTATAGTTCATGGATGAACAACATGGCTATGGGTATGAATGTCCAGGAAGCTGCTGCTGCTGCTCCTCATCCAAACACACCAGATGATCCAGCCAAGAATGAGCCTCTTACTCTCTACCAGTGCTCTATCTGTAACAACTTCAACACAGAGAGCCAGGATGATTTGCATATCCATGTGCACAGAGATCGTAGTGAACCCAACATGGCTCTATGGAGAGCTATCATTGGTGATATGCAGCAGTGTATGCTGTGTAACTATTCCACCCAAGTCAAGGCCAACTTCCAGCTTCATCTCAAAACAGACAAGCATCAGCAGAAACTCCAGCTGTTCAACCACATTAGAGAAGGAGGCAAGCAGAATGAATGGAGACTCAAGTACATGAATGTTGGTAACCCAGTCCAAGTGAGATGCAATGCTTGTGACTTCTACACTCACAGCATAGACAAACTACGTGCTCATTCCCACCCTAACAACTATCGACACGAGACCAGTCTCAAGCTCTTCAGACACATGCAGAGCATCAACATTACCATGAACTTTGAGACGCGTCGCTTCCACTGTCCTCTATGCAGCTTTTATACCCGGACCAAGTTCAACTTGATGCAGCACATCCAATCAGTACAGCATCTCAAGAATGAAGCTAAGCTAGCCAAGCAAGATGACCAGAACACAGAAGCTGAAGGAACACAACCATCAGGAGATGGGGCTTTAGATCTCTCTAAAAAAGAAAGACCACCATCTGCAGAGTCTATGCCCGAGGACCAACCTAGCAATTCCAGTATTCTTAACAGCAGTGAGCAACCAGAAAACTTGAGCAAACCAGGAACTCCCTCCAGTGCAAGTGGAAAAGCTGATATCAGGGGTCACACCACTACACAAATATTCTCCTGTCCGTATTGTAAATACAGCTGTGTGGACCAACAACGAATCACTGCCCATGTGATATCCCAGCATAGTTTGAAACCTGCCTCTGTTCTTCGCTGTCCACTCTGCCAAGAGATCTGCACCAACCGTATCAACTTGGAAGTTCATCTCATGGACTCCCACAGCGTATCCAGAGACTGCATCCAACGGCTGGTCATGTCAGTGGAGACATCAGAAAATGTGCCAACATTCCATGGAGCTCCACCTGCCAATGCTGTTGCTACTGCAACTCAACCAAGTGAAGCTGCATCAAAAACAGAATCAAGGCCACCATCTTCTCAAGGGGCAGAATCAGCTGAAGTCAGAGCCTCTCCTCGTCCATCTTCTCATCAATCTTCATCAACAGTTGGTGAAGCTGATGGAGTAGACCTTTATAGGTGCCAAAATTGCCATAAGAATTTCTCCAATATTGACCTACTCTACAGTCATCAAAGTGAATTCTGTCCTTTGAAAGAACAGGACACACCCAATGGCCCAGGTTTCTTGTGTTGGAAGAAAGGCTGCAATCAGTATTTCAAGACTGCGTCTGGTTTGCAAGTCCATTTCAAGGAAATTCATGTTAAACGACATCAGCTTCCAGGTATCAAGCCTGAGGTGTCCAGTGCAGAGGCAAACCCTGGACAGGTCAACCTCAAGTGTGTGGTATGTCAGAAAGTCTTCCGTTCTATGTCAAACCTACAGAGTCACTTGGAGACAACCCACCCAGATCTAAATCAAGCAGATGTCTTGCAGATGCTCACCTCCATGCCAAATGGTGATATTGCTGGACTGCTCCACAATGGACCAAATGACCAAGCACCAGAAATGGACCAACAAAATTTATTCAAAGTTGAGGATCCATTCTCAGGCTGTAATGGAACAGATGGAACAGACTGGGATGGAGATATGGACGATATGGAGATGGATGGACCTAAACCTGAAGAAGGTAGCTTCATGGATCCTTTCAAGAAGTACAAGTGTCAGAGATGTAGAGTAGGCTTCTCCAAGCAAAGTGAACTGAGCAGCCACAACAAAACCGTTTTTCATCGCAAAGGAGATAGGGCAGCTCAAACGTTTTCCATGGACAAGTACATGGACCCTAATAGGCCATACAAATGTGATGTCTGTCGAGAATCTTTTACTCAAAAGAGCATTCTTCTTGTCCACTACAACTCGGTATCTCATCTCCACAAGTTGAAACTGAGTTTGAATGAGCCTATAGAGCCAGAGATTCCTAATGATCATGGAGACAACAAGCCCTTCAAATGTAGTCTATGTAAGGTAGCTTACAGTCAACAGTCAACCCTTGACACTCACATGAGATCTGTGTTGCATCAAAGCAGAGCTGCCAAACAGGAGACTTCCAGTAGTACTACAGACAAGGATGAAGGAGAACAATTGGTTCTTGGTGTTGGTGGAACCATCCTCCCAACATCATCACCAAGTCATGTCCAACAGCAACAACAGCAGAAGCAGAAACATCAGCAACAGAAACCACACCAACCACAACCTCCTAAGTCTCCTGCAGCTAGTACTGAGGTACCTTCACAGCATCAACAGCAACAACAGTTGTTACAAGCTCAGCAGGCCCATCTACAGGCTCAACATGCTTACTATCAACAGTTTCAGTTCCAGCAAGCATTACAACTGCAACAACTTCATCAAGCTCAGTTACAACAACAGATTGCTGCTCAGCTGTCTGGTGTTCCTGGTCAAAGTACTGACCCAAATGTGGCTGCATTGCTCTCTCAAGATGCTCTATCAATGATGCTGATGCAGAGCTTCTCTCCTTCCGCTGCCATGATGTATCCTGCCCAGATACCACTCTCACCCAGTATGTATTCATGTGCTTTATGTGGCTCAGTGCTGCCAAGTCACGAAGCACTTGCTCAGCATCAGCAGACCTGTCCAAAAGCCCCATCATCCAGTACCAGTACAGCAACAACCCCTACTGCTGAGAAGCTTTCCACAGCATGTACCTCAGTCACACCAGCCACTACCACTGTCACAACAAGTGTTGTTGCAAAGCCTCTTGAAGCACCCAATGCTAGGAGGATCAGAACGTCAGCAATTCAGCGCAAGTTGCTTGAAAGCTATGGTTTTGATCTTGTTCAGCAATTTAATGAATCTGCAATGGGACTGCCATCAAGCATAGCATATGAGGACAAGTTCTTCTGCGAAGGATGCAAAAAGGAGTTCTCTAGTGTCTGGGTGTATAAGGCTCATATGGAAGAGATTCACAAAAAGTTGTTGCCAAATGATGTGATTGAGAAGTACACACAGTTGTTTAAAGATGAACTAAATGACGAAGACGATGAAGAGGATGATGAGCTGTCAAGGACTGAGGAGGAAACTAGCCAGCAGCAAGAAGAAAAACTATATCCTGCCAAGCTGGATCAAAAGATCAAATCAGAGAAAGAAGATCCAAAAGAAACCCTTGTGAATGGACATGTAATGAATTCAGGTGATCACATGTTAACGGCTCAAGATCAATCAGCCTCTGAGGTTATGCCTCCACCACCACCACCACCTCCTCAAGTGTTTCCTGTTAGCCCATATCAACTAGCCATGATGCAAGCCATGCAGCCTGCTAGTTCAAATGGTACAGGGACTCAACCCACTGCTACTCAACCATTTTCTGGTTCTGCTGTACCTGGTGTCCAACACATGCATAACCTTTCTCAGCAGCCTAATCTCAGCCCAGCAGGTATGCAGCAATTACCACCCTACTTGGATCCTAACTACCTACAGCAGAAGTCCCCCAAACGAGCTCGTACAAGAATCACTGATGATCAGCTAAAAATCCTGAGGGCATACTTTGACATTAACAATTCTCCATCAGAAGAAGCGATTGCTGAGATGTCTCAAAAGTCTTGTCTGCCACATAAAGTCATCAAGCACTGGTTCAGAAACACTCTGTTCAAAGAGAGGCAAAGGAATAAAGACTCACCATATAACTTCAACAACCCTCCAACAACTTCACTGCTGGACATTGAGAGACCTAAGAAGAGGGAAAGTAGCGAGGTGCTGACTGGTGGATCGTTAGAGAAAAGAACTGCCAGAGAAATGGAGAAGGAACATTTGGAAATGGATCCATTCAGAGCTTCTTCAAGCCCTAGTATGAGATTTTTAGCAGAACAGGCTATGGTCAAACCATACAAGCAAGAGATTCCTCTTCCACTTCCACAGACCCCACCACCTGGTGCTGCTGCAGCCGCTGCAGCAGCAGCAGCAGCAGCACAAGCTATGGCCACACTACCTCCAGCCACCGCTATGAAAGAACCCAAGCCTATGAGTCCTATTGTTTCAGTCATGCCAGAACCATCTTTGCCCAAATTGGAAACATCTGAGATGGAAACTACTGCAGAGGAGCTTAAAGATAAAAGTCCAGATACAGCTCCAGAGGAGCATCCAGAATTACACCATGATACAGTCATGGAGGAAGTCAAGGATATGAATGAGGAAAGTATCAATAAAGCGGCTGAAGACTCAAAGAGGAATATGATGATGATGATGCATAATGAGGATTTGCTTACTGATAAACACCTGAGAATCTCAATGCCAAATGCTGCTATACCTCATACTGTAACCTCAGCTCCTAACACTCCAACCTCAAGCATTTCAGACATGACATCTCCACTGTCCTCTCCAATCTCCCCCATGGCCCCTCGGTGTGTTATTTCCCCAACCAATCATTCTGGTAGCTCTGCTGGCTCTTGTGATTCAAAATCCATGCGGCGATCAGGGAGGACAAGGTTTACAGACTACCAGATTAAAGTTCTACAGGAGTTTTTCGAAAGCAATGCCTACCCTAAAGATGATGACCTCGACCACCTATCTAGAATGCTGAACCTCAGTCCAAGAGTTATTGTGGTATGGTTCCAGAATGCAAGGCAAAAAGCAAGGAAGATGTTTGAAAATCAGGCTGCACCAGAAGGTAATCCTGATCCAGATGGCTTGAGTGGAAGATATAAACGCACACCTGGTTTGAATTACCAATGCAACAAGTGCATGTTGGTGTTTCAAAGATTCTATGAATTGATTAAGCACCAGAAACAACATTGCTATAAATACAGCAGTCTGAGTACAACAAGCAGTGGGAGCTCTCAGCACAGTCCAACAATTATTCCTCCTAATCTAAGTGCTGTGAGTCCTGATCCATTTACCAAGATATCACCAGAACCAACCACCCCAAAGCACACCCCTGAACCAACCCCACCAACACCTACCAGGACTAAGTCTGAACACAAGTCCCCGTCATCTTCATCGTCATCTTCTAAGACAAGTCAAGGAGAGGGAGAGAAGCCATCTAAAAGTGGACATCATTACAAGTGTGAGCAGTGCAAGGTGGCATTTCCACAGTTGGAACAATGGAGAGAACATCAGCAAGTTCATTTGATGGGGATGCAGATCATGAATAGCTACATGCCACAGCAGGTCCCTTACAACATGATGTACATGCCCTATGATTTCAATGGTCTCACCACTGAGCAATACATGAACTACTTAAACACCAACAGTGGAGCAGGTTCACCAACAAAGTCCAAGCACTCAGACACAAGTGATGAAGCTGCTGGACAGTCGTCTGATCAAAGTAGTTCTGAATCGGATCCTAAGAAAGACAAAAGGTTGCGTACCACCATCTCACCAGCTCAACTTGACATCCTGTATGCCAAATACCAAGAAGACAGCAATCCAACCCGTAAGATGCTTGATGTCATCTCCGATGAAGTCGGTCTCAAGAAGCGAGTTGTTCAGGTCTGGTTCCAGAATACCAGAGCCAGGGAACGCAAAGGTCTCTTTCGCCTTTCAGCCTTACAACCGTCCATGAGATGTCCCTTCTGTAAAGCTGCCTTCAAAGTGAAGTCTGCCCTCGAGGCTCATATAAAGGTGCGTCATTTTGACAAGATTCAGAACAGTGCCCAGGTAGACCACATCATTGCTCAGGCATGTAGTCCAGAAACACTGCATGCGCTGGAGATGGAGGCTGGTAGAAGTAGTGCTGGCAGTGATGACAGACATATTGATAGCAGAGCCAGTGATCCTTACTTGTACAGTGATGACAGTCGACAGCTCACCTACTCAGAGGATGGAGATCGTGGCAGCCGGTTTGAGGAATATAGCCAAAGGGTTTCAAGAGACAGAAGTGAGGAGAGGAGATTTGATGAAAGAAATGAAGTGAAGAGTTGGGAGGAGCGAAATGAGAGAGAGATGCAGTCACGGATATCTAGCCATAAAGGTAGTGAGAGCGATGGAGCTCTTGCACAGTCTGACATAGTCTTGGACAAGTTACCGAAGGACTCATATCTGCTCTCTCCCACAAGCAGTATCACAGGGGAAGACGCTATATCAGAAGCTGGCTCAATGGATCGCAGTGAGGATTCTTACAGCAATGCTGATGACCTGGAAAGGGGGCTTAAAAGATACAGAACTCAGATGTCCGTACTCCAGTTGAAAATCTTGAAGCACTGTTATAACGACTACCGTACTCCCACCATCCATGAGTGTGAGCTCCTAGGGCAAGAAATAGGGCTTCCAAGGCGGGTCGTCCAAGTTTGGTTCCAGAATTGTCGAGCAAAGGACAAGAAGGGCAAAAGTATCGTCACCAAGCATTTTGGAATGATAGGAGCAACTGGAGATGGCCATGAATGTAAAATCTGTAAGAAGAAATACTCCAGCTCAATGTCGGTACGTGACCACGTCTTTACTGAATCACATGTAAGACATGTAAAGCTTCATGTTAGTAAAGAACTTGAGAAGTATGAGACTGAAGAATCCAATCTCTTCTTGCCCAAACTTGAACCAGGAAAGAGTAGCCAGTCAGCAGCACCCAGTTCATCTTCAAGCCAGCCATTGAGTAGTCCTTCCCCTGCTTCCGTTGCTGCTTCTCTGAACCTGAGTCCTGTAGCTGCTGCTCAGATGCAGGCTCTTCAGGCCATGCAAGCTCAGATGTTGAATCCTCAGCTACCAGCATCTCATTACCAGCATGTAGCAGCTTCAGCAGGTGCCCCTCCTCCTCATTCACAGTCAGCTCCAGGATCATCATCCAGTAAGAGTGGTAAAGACTCGAGACCTTCTTCTGTCAAGTCCTCTATCAAGTCTGAAGCAGGAGAATCTCAACCTTCCTCCAGCCAGGCCAATGTACCCACCTCAGCCGCGGCTGCTGCAGCTGCAGCTCAGATGGGAGTCAATCCTAATGATGCTGCCTTGATGTCATACCTCTACGGTGGAATGTCTCCTTACTATTCCCAGGTACCTATGATGTATCCTGTCTACCCGGTCGGTCTGGAGATGCTTTATGCTCAGGAACACGCTGCTGCTACAGCTGCCATCCCGCCTCATATACTACAGGTAAGTTGATGTTAAACCTCAGTTTCACAATAAGTGTTTGGGAAGAAAATTGTTGCATAAAATAACCAACTTGAATGATCAGAGCAATTAACACTCTTGGGTATAAACATAAAAGAAAGCAAGAAATCAGTCAAGCACAAACACACACACTCTGTATGTTCTTTATCCCTGTTATAATAAAATGTACGGATGGCAACAAAATAATTTGGTTACTTTTTCAATTGAATAACTGAAAGTACGAATGGAAAACTTTTAACTGAACTTAAAAGGGTGTGAAGAAACGAAGACAAAGTACTTTGATGTATATTTTGACTCATTTGAGTTTTGTGTGTCCATGTTGGCATGGTGCATGATTGTTTTGATTTCTTTGCATGTTTAGTTTAAATAGAGTTGTTTGTCATTTGGCGTGATATTTTCTTAACACATGGATCTAGTTAAGAAGTGCACGAACTGAGTTTTTATCTGAACTGTTTTTAGTCCTACCTTTACTGTTTTTATGTCGTGTCTCAAGACTACCCTATCCTAAAAGATATTTACTGGTCATTTTCATTTGGTATCCCTCTTGCAGTGAAGTGTTGACTATTTCTAAATTCTTCTGATAGTTTTCCAGTGTCCATGGTAACGTTGACCAAGCATTTACTTGTCTAGTTTGATAGTCTTTACTTACTACCTCTACAGACCCCTCCTTTGATATTTAGTCCCATTTTCTTTCCTTTTTAGTTTGTTGTGTTTTGTTGTGTCACTTTTGGACTGTTTGTTTGCATGTCTATTATTTTTGTAACAGGCCTATGCTTCCAACCCCCTCGCTGCAGCACAGTTACATGGCCTGATGGGAAAAACCCCTGAAGAGCAACAGCAGCAACTCAAGCAGCTACAACAACAACAACAACAGCAGCAACAGCAGCAACAACAGCAGCAGCAGCAACAAACCCAGCCAACACCAACATCGTCATCCTCCTCACATCATCACCACCATCACCACCACCACAAGTCCAAACATGGTGACAAACACAAAGAGAAGGATTATATTCTACAGCCTAATTCCTCCACAAATCGTTACCTTTGTAAGAAATGTGAACGTGTCTTTACAGACGTTGACTTGGTGACCTCTCATCAGGTCACCAAGTGCTACATGGGTAAAGTGGTCAACGTGGAGGAAACCGTTGAGAAGCTACCGTCCAACCGATTCTTGTGCCAACTGTGTCCCCGCGAGGCGCTCTTCACGGCTGAAGACGTCAAGACGCATATCAAGACCCCCACACATCAACACAAACTCGTTAGAAAGCTAGAAAAGAAAGAAAAACGGCATCAAAAACATCTCAATGCACACCCCCACTCCAAGAGTTAGACTGTTCAAACTTTCTTTCATTCATGAAAAGTTTTAAGATGTAACAAAAATACATGAAAACTCAGATGAAATATGACCAATAATCTTCCTTTTTATTTTGATTGATGTATTTTTAAAAACATTTGAGGGTGCTTGCCTTCGGTTACCTGTTTGTCTGTCAGATGAATATAGACAAGACTTGATCTGCATTGCTGAAGATTGTATGTGCTATCTGTTTGGATTGGACAGATGAAAAGTCAAACTATGTGTGCCAAAAATGAAAAGAGGTTTCAGAAGTATTGTAAAAATAGTGAACTGGTTGAAAGATGGCAGGCAAGGACTAGTTTAATGATCTAGGATAGAAAAGATTGACTTGCCAGCCAAGGCTTGTTATTACATAGAGCATCTACCTCTAGTATATCAGTAGGAATGCGATTAAAAAATGCCAAAATATATGTAGGGTTGCTTGTGATGAAGAGAATGCCAAATGAAGAGCCCAAGACTTTATTCTCTTAGTGGAGAGAGAAAGAAAGAAAGAAGAATATGCCAAGATTTATCACTGCTAATGTTTTAAGAGGTATTCCATAAAGCTTGAACAACAATGGCTGAATGAATGTTTATGTGTTGTAAAGTAGATGAGATACCAGCCATTCAATTTGGATATAATTAGTACTGCGGGTAGTTGTTATAGAGTTTGTGGTTGTTTTTAAATTGATGATGAAATTATATATATATCAGTATTCCAATTGAAATTTTTTCAATGTTAAGATTATGAAATGACCAAATTATTCACCATGAAATCTTTTTGTTTCCTTGTCTAGTGAGGCTGAGAGATACATATATTTTCAAGAGAAACGTTTTTTGTCCTTAGTCAATGTGTAAGTTTATTTTTTTTCTGTTTAAAATACTTCTACTTAAAGGACATCAGTTTTGCTCTTTTTAATTTGAATACCTCTTTGTGACCAACTACTGTATTATTGAAATTGTAACATTCATTTACTTTTATAACAAATTGACTGGAAGCTTATATGACTAATACGATTAATATTTGATTTAGTGAGACATTGTGAGAAACACACATTAACGGTTCTGTGGGGACCTGTGCATGTTTGGTTTTAGGGTTGTGGGTAAAGTTTCACTTTAATGAATTAAAAAATGAATTTTAGCTCAAATGTATAATGGTATTCAGTGCTCTAATCTTGGACAGTGAATTAATAGAACAATAAACTGGGTTGTCATCATGGGCATTTCGGTATTGATTATTATTTGTTCATTTCAATTTCTACATTATCTAAATAACATTGCCAAATTTTTCTCTTTGAGTGATGGGAGAGTCTGTTTAGTGTACAAAAATTTATTACAAAGTTTTAATGAAAACCTCATTATGAATGACTGTCTCTTGTATACTTGTGAATATTGAGAAAAAAGTGTATAAAATGCTGCCTGATTTTAGGCAAAACCTGTAAATATAAAGACTAAAACCAACCGATATGCACCATGAATATATGTTGTACACCTTGCTTACGTAGGCAGTATAATGATTGTATACATTTAGATAAAGATAGACCAAGATGAAATACCTTAGTATCTACTACGCACCGTATATATGTATGACTTTATATAGTAGTGTGCTTTTTCACCTTGGTTTAAGGCTAATGCTAGTCTTCTAGAAGGTTCATGTGCCGCTGCTGCATATTCTAGATGTGGTCTAATCGTGAAATAATATTGAGAAAAAAAAACACTTGTTGTGGATAGAAGACTAGCCTTTCAGAGAGTCTGTGTGTGTTCTGTATATCTGTAATGTCAGCAAGTGACCTTGTCTTCAGTCTGTCTATATTATCTGTGACCTCCATATTAGTAAGCTTCAATGGGTAGATTTGGCCTTTGATATAGGGGTGATTGCGACCTTTGACATATGGTCATGTGATTTTGATTAATGTCACCAGAAATGGTATTAGAACGGATGAGAGAAAGTCCTATTTCATAAAACTCAATCTTGGTAATTTGTGATTTTTGGACCACTGTGACATTTATGTTAAAGATGATTTATCTCAATGGTTTGTGAATCACTGAAGCTAGAGGCTGACAATTTAAAGTAAAAAGGATATAAGAGCTTCAAGTTTGCATCATGATTTCAGAGATATATTAAACCAAACTGCTTAAGACGTGGGTCTTACTTAGATGGAGCTCTTTAAAGTGATACTGATTAGTTGGTTTTTTATTAAGGTAAAAATGTGACTTGATATTTCTTTGAGTGAACTCGGTGAAGACTCTGCTGTTTTAGAACCCATTTTGAAGTGTGGGTTTCCATGTGCGGAAATAAATAACTTTGAAATATACTGAAATGGACAAATTCATGTCACAAAATTTGTTGATATTATATAGAGATGTTGATGCAAGGAATTATTTAGATTTTAGCTGATCGGTGTAAACGCATGATATATAATGCATAGGAGATGAAATGAAGTATTACACAGATTATTTTTGTGTGTAAATTGTAGATTTTTGTACTACATGTATGTTAGTCATTGTATTTATCATTCATTGTATGAAGATACTTTTCCCTAGTTGCTGCGTGTATTTACATATCATATATATTTACATCATTTGAATTTACCTTGTATAACGGTGCTTAAATGTGTTTTTTAATTGACTTGCTTATCATGTTGTTAAATGCAAAAATGGGCCAAAATAGAAATAAAAGTAAATAAGACATAGACATGTTAGACAGACATGCACAAGTTTTGACTATCACCTCTGTGTTTTACGCAGCACCTTTTTTTAAAATGCTATTATATTGGATTTTTGTTGTCGCATTTATACGTACTACTAACTGATTATTATGTTTGTATTCCTGACTATTTTTTGTATTGTAGAGAGTAAAGCACTAGGCATTTAATGCCCCAGTTAGTATGCTTACAAAGCAGTTTTGTATAGTTCATATGTTTTGTAGATAGAAAGAAACGAGGCTTTTTTTTCTCTCATTTTGGTTTCCATATATTATTTCTTGCTTTGATTGTTGTAGAAGGATATCAAACTATGGATAGTCATGATAATGTGATACCTCATATAATATTCCTAAAGTACTCTAACTAATTGGACATCAAAAGGATATATGTAGAAAGCCAGCGTTGGTAGGAGAGTTATAGGATGTGATTTGGGGTAACAGATCTCCCAAGCAAACACCTTATTTCTTCTGCTGCCTCTATTCGGAGACTAATTTGCTATCCAACTTTTCAGTAGCTAAACATAGAGACTTGGCGACCAAATGCCTTTATTTTTGCAAGATTATTTACAAATTCTAGAAAGAGGATCTGAAAAACAGAGCTAATTGCCAAAACTTTGAGAATGCAGAACCCCCACCCCTTCCCTTCCCATTCCTTTCATGTAACCATCTTGTAAGCTTCAATATGTCTTGTGTTTTTGAAAATTAAAAGTTGTACCAGCAGACAATTGTAATGGTTCTGTGTTTAGTAGTACCAGCGTTCTAATGAAGGATTATCTGGGTAGACTATTACAAATGTTTTTTGTCTGTATGAGAGAGGGAGGGAGAGTGAGTGAGTGAGAGAGAGAGAGAAAATGAGAAGTCTAAGGTCTTGAAAGAGGTTTAGCTTGTAAATACATGTAATACTACTGGATATACAGGTAACTATTAGCACTGCATTGTCATGTGATATTAGAACAAAGAAAGACCATGTTGATAAAGCTGCATCATCTACCCACTCGTTTTTGTATGGGGGTTTACTGCATGTATCTGTATTGATATTATAACCGCTTGCTAAGAATTATGTCTAACGAAAAAAAAATTAAAATCTGCCAGCCATGTGTTTACATGAAAAAATGACTTTCAGTTGTGCCGAGATGTATTCTTTATGTTTTAACAATGATGCTGATCATACTGATGATGATGGTGGTGGTATTGATATGGTGAGGATGATGATGCGGATGACAATGATGATGATGGTTATAGTATCATGGTTATGGTAACGTGATGATGATAATACAGTGCGTCCCAAAAAAAACTATACACTTTTGATATGGCCGCCGAATAAACAAATATATGATTCTGGGGGACAATTTTTATATGTATGGAAAGCTCACAAACTCAGCTTTCATATGATACCAAAAAGTTTGAAAATAATTCATGCTTGGGTGAGCACTGCTCACTTTTGTAAAGGGTATGAAAATTAGATTGCGCAGGAATTAGCCTTCCAATTTGTGAGAGGTAAATCCTTTGGTGCTTACAAAATCGAGGGTGATAGGATACATTCATGATTTGCTGAGTGAATTACATCGTTTATAAAACCAAAATTTTATGCATGAGTGAACAGGAATTTTATTTTTTATTGTAGGATTCTAACTTTCCCTGTTAGACTCAGTGGTGTGTTTATGGGAGTCAGGATGGGGTGATGGTACATGTTGTAATTTCCATCTTACAAACTGTTATTTTTTACATCTTTGACTTTGAATAAAAACATTCACCCCACATTTCAGTTATTGTAAGATTAGTTGAACATCTCATTGATTTACTTAATAACCAGATGGGGATTATGTAAAATTATTGTAAATTGATTATTCAAATACGGTTCGTTGAAAAGAGGAATATCACAGATGTTGGCTACTTATTCTTAAGGTTACCCATTTACCATTACAGAAACTCAAGTGCTAAAATGACTGGTTGGTTGGTTGATAGATTGAGTGATTGACTGAGTTATTGATTAATTATGATTGAATGATTAAATTGATTGAAATACTGAATGGTGATTGAATGCTTGATTGATTAATTGATTGACTGATTGACTGATACCGTTCATTGTTCATTAAGTGATTGATAGCTGAATGTAATGGATTGTCAAGATATGCACAAGCACACCCAGGCAGAGAGAGAGAGAGAGAGAGAGAGAGAGGGGGAGGGGCATACATGTCCTCTTGACCCTAATCCCATCTACCAAACAAAGTCCTACCCTACATTTCACCTCCCCTGCACCATGTACCATCACCCCGTCCTGACTCCCATGAAAACTCCACTGAGTCTACCATGGAAAGTTACATTGCTATACGGTAATAACAAATGCAATTCCTGTTCACTCATGCATAAAATGTTAATCCCATAAACTACAAATTTCACTCAGCAAACCCAAACTCATCACAATTGATCATAAATTGGTCATATCATTCTCAATTCCGTAAGCTCCAAAGGATTTACCTCTCACAAATTGGAAGGCTAATTCCTGCGCAACCTAATTTTCATACCCTTTACAAAAGTGAGCAGTGCTCACCCAAGCATGAATTATTTTCAAACATTTTGGTGTCATATGAAAGCTGAGTTTATAGGCTTGCTATACATATAAAAATAGTCCCCCAGAATTATATATTTTTTTATTCGGCAGCCATTTCAAAAGTGTATAGTTTTTTTCGGGACGCACTGTAGAGGGTGATGATGGTGATTGAGATGATGGTGATATTAGTGGTAATGTTGGTAGCAGTGGTGAAGATGAGGGTTAGTGGGCATTATTAATGAAAATCATAAATATGAAGAACAAAGATAAAACATGCTTTCTTACATTAGATTTTATCACCTGACAAAACGTTGTGATCTTTTAGATCCCTTGTTGACCATACATTGCAAGACAAACGAATATCACTAGCAATATTATTTTTGAATCTATATCCGCAATGAGTAAAATATTTAGCATTAACAAAGATAACGTTGGCAATATGAATGATGATGAATAAGAATGTTATAATAGGGTGATGATGATTAAACATCTCGCTATGGTGACATAGATGAAAACGGTGGTGATTTGGTGGTGGTGGTGGTGGTGGTGATGATTTGATGGTGGTGGTGGTGGTGATGATGATGATGATCATGATGGTGACGATAAAGATGGTGGTGGTGGTGATGGTGATGATGATGATGGTGATGATAATGGTGACGATGATGGTGGTGGTGGTGGTGATGACGGTGGTGGAGGTAGTAGATGAAAACGGTGGTGGTGGTGGTGGTGATGATGATGGTGGTGGTGGTGATGGTGATGATGATGATGGTGATGATGATGATGGTGACGATAAAGATGGTGGTGGTGGTGATGGTGATGATGATGATGGTGATGATAATGGTGACGATGATGGTGGTGGTGGTGATGGTGATGATGATGATGGTGATGATAATGGTGACGATGATGGTGGTGGTGGTGATGACGGTGGTGGAGGTAGTGCTAATGGTATAGGGTGAAGGTAATGGGAATTACATTTATTGGAATGATGTGAATGATAACATTTATATTGATAAATGATAAATGACCTGAGTATGTTTAATAACCTTCCTTGAAACAGGATGGCCTTTTAAGCTAAGCTGTCTTAACTTAGATCGTCATGATGATGATGATAAAAGAAAAGAATATCGCTGTGAAGTTGCTCTGATGATATCTCAACCCTTCTCAAGTTAATCTCCATTTATGATCAATATTTTTCTATAAGTTATATATGAAGCTAGCTTAGAATATATGGAAATTAAACTATTCATATGTCGAGTGGGTTGATGACTTGAGGAGGATTAAGGTGGCAATCTATGCATTGCTAATTAATATTTGACTTCATTCTCAGCTTCATTTAATATCTGGGAATATGAAGCGAGGTCTTACTCATGTTAAAAGCAAAATAACCCTAGGAAGCATTCCACCTCGTGATAGTGGGAGGACAGGTTAACGTACTATGTAATGATTTGGAGCCATGATGAAACCTCATATCGAAAGTGTTTTAAAGCCCCACTGCACTACTTATAGCTACTTGCTCCCTCTACATAGCAAACGTGCCTAATCGGTGCTTGTTGGTCCTCCATGATCCCCTTTTTCTTATGTTAATTGAGAGCTGATTTGATGTGATAACCACCGTCAGTGACCTTGCAGGGAGGTCTAATCCCCCTGGCCAAACTAGTGCAGACGGGCTGTAAGGAAATGATAACTGACTTTTAGTAATAAATAATGCACCCTTTAAAGAATGTAATTAAATAAGACAATTTCATCTGGTTTCATCACACTTTTTGAGAATGCACCTAAAAAATGGAGAATACCAGGTGCAAATCACTGTGATAACATGTAAGCCAAAGTCTTCTTTCTCTCCTTTTCTTGCTTGCTTACTTCAAACTTTCCACTTTTTATAAGCACTTAAGCATGTAGAGTTACAGGTTTAAACATTGAGGTCATTTTTCCTTCAAAAGTTAGAGAACACATATCACTCTCATCTGCTCAAACCACTGTTGTATGACCACTGACTCTTAATTTTAGAATAGATAATGCTGAACTGTCTTTCACTCCCTCTCTTTTCCCCCTTTCTCCCCCCCCCCCCCCCTTTTCCTCTCTCTCTCTCTTTCCTTCTCTTTTCTATCTTCTAACTCTTCCCCACTTCTCTCTCCCTCTTTCTCTCTTTCTTCTTCTCTCTTTCTCTCTTCTGTCTAACTCTTATCTTTCTCTCCCCCTCCCCACCCCCCCCCCTCTCTCTCTCTCTCTTTCTTTCTCCCCTTCTCTCTCTCACTCAAGCATTTGCTCATTTCACAAATTTAATCAATCAGTCATTCAATGTTCAAATGCATAGTACACATAAATATGTATTTTATGACATCTTTCTAGTTTCTAGCAATTTTAATCTGAATTTCTTATGTCCAAGTTATAAGTTATATTGACCGGACAGTAATGTACAGGTTACATACAAATGTAGAATAATACAAACATATACAAGGTTCTAAAACTAAGCCGAGGTCATATTACTCAAGAATGAAGTGAATATTTTAGGTCAGGAAATAGTCTTAAGTACTGCTATAAAAACAAGTTGAAAGGCTTTCATCTGCCTTGTTAGGAAGGTTTGTAATATGTTAGATATCTTCTATTTATTCAAATTGGAATAAATAACTTTCTTTAGCACACTTCTTGTTATATAAATGCTTCATGAAGAAGACTTGTCAAAATTATTCAAAAAAATGAAATTCTGAATGGAAAGAATGTTTAGTAACATATAGATTTCATCTATTTGTGTGCATTTTGGCAGCTTTTCAGTCGCAGTGAAAATTATAATCGTGATTAGTTTTGGGAAGTATATTAAAGTCTAATATTTACTTTTATGTTACATTAGTCAAGTTATTTCTGTCACATAGTCAAGTCATGTCCTACATGTCTAGCAAAAGTTTAACATAGTTAGGTGTACATCAATTCTGTGTTCCCTATACCACAGAGAAAAACTAATCACTTTGCCTAGATTAGAGTCATACTTAAAGAGAGAATAATAGTTAGTACATATATGAAAATCACATCTGATTTCCAAGTCATTAATGCCATCTAGAATGAATGATTGATTATTAAATCATTTTATAAACTTTAGTTGATTCCAGAAGAACCAAGGTTGATATTCTTAAGTACAATCATGATCTTTATTCCATTATTCTTCATGCATGTATACTGGGTCTGAGCAGCTTCATTCTAATGTGCCCTTAGTCTTCAATGGAAGACTTTGTCTATCTGGAGTTACACACAATACTGAAATAAATACACATTCTACCAAACATGATAAGATTCTACACTGAACACTCATGAATACGTTAGATCACATACTAACCAACAACAAGAGCTGATTGCTTCATATACTGCATAGTTTACCATAAATGACCTCAGATGGAATACTGTTGCTTGACATTCGTATACGTTGCTTGACATATATCATATCAAAAGACAAAGGAATTTGAAGCTCTACGATACATGTACATGAAATACTGCATAATTATTCTTGCAGCATTTGGGAGAGCGTTGTTCTAGTCGTCAAGGCACACTGATAGGAAGGAAGACGTACATTACATCTCAATGTCATTACAAAAAGTCATGTTATAAATAATGCTAAAGAATTCTAATCATTAATGATCAGAGTATGAGTTACAATGAACTCCATTGTTATGTCACCTTTACCGATTACACTTCATTTATACTTATTAAAATATCTCCTTTGTGACATCATCACCATCAGATAAAGACCAATCGTTTGATTACACAAATTACACAAATTAACAATCTACCAATAAAATAGCACCATCTTAACATCTATCTCTACCTGTGTTTGGTTCACTAAAACTGAATGGATGTACAAAAGAGGTAGCTTTACGTCTATGGGTCCAGATAGATACAACTAAAAAGTAGAAGTAAGATACAAATATCTGTAAAAAGATTTTTGAAGACAGATTTCTTTGCCTTTATCATGTCATAGATCCCTAATTATCATCCATCTAACGCTGACGATATCACCAAGCTCATCATGCATGATGATGCCATAGTGTACCAGCGATATGTCAGGGAATCCTCTGTCAAGGCTTGTAATCGAGGGATGATGTGTGTGTTTGAAAATAGGGTTAATACTTCTTCCTTTACGAAAGGAATGATAAAAACAAAATGTGCCTTAATGAGTTGAAGGCACAAGCTATTGTGTAGAGAATCATCTACTAATTAATGGTATGAGAAACATACAAATATTTGAAAGTTGTCTAAAAGAGTAACAGCAGCATCGTGACTTATGGAAAGCCAGGAGAGCAGCATTATAGGCTTTGGGAAGCCAGTAGGAAACATCTATGGCATATCTCAATTAATGTCTCAATAAATATTTTGTATCAATAATGAGAAAATTACTGGGCTTAGATTACAAGTTTAAAATCATCTTTAAAAGCTGCTGAATTATCAGAGTAATAAATATCCATCTTCAGCAAAACCTTGGAGGATAGATAACCTCCAAGAAAGGAATGACGGGACAGGAGTGCGTCCATGCTGCGAGGAACCATGTTGAACTTAGAGGGTGTCCTGAATTTATGTGATGATTCCTGTCTCCAAGGATACATCTGGTGCTAGCTGTTATGAGAATAGCATCAGCATTTCAGTTCAAGGTTTTCTTCCTTCTCGGCCTCATACCTGGGGGGTAGAAGAAAGTATGAAAAACTCAATTAATTCACGTTCTTTAGAAAATCAAAGTCGAAGAAGGAGCAAGGGATAGCTTCTACTATTCCACTATACTTCACAAAATTCTCTGATAATAATAATAATAATAATAATGATTTTTAAAAAAATTCTCCATGGAAGCCTCAATTTCATCAATGATGTTCTTCCTAAGGCTCCTGTGAGGTTCTTCTTACAGGGTGTTTCTAACACAATTGTGTGATCATACATGTATCTTTAGGAGTTTTCTTGTTTTATCTTGTCTCTGTATTATAATGTCCTATCGATCTAAAAAATCTTGTTAGAGCTTTGAAAACTGCTAAATTTTTTGACGACTCACCGCTGTAACAAACTGATTACTCCTCCTCTGTGATCTCCTCTGACTGGTGACGGTTTCCACAGTAGGAGCCTCTGAATGAAGTGAACTGACACTCATCGTCCTTACTTCTGATGTAAACATAGTCTCCTGGTAAATCTGAGAACTCCTAGGTGATGGAACACTCCTCACAAAGGGATTCCTACCCCTCGCATCACCATGCCGCATCGTTACCCCGGCAACGGGTGATACCGGGGCTACGTTGTCCCCGCTGAAGGCGCTACTGTCTCCGCTACTGTCTGTACCTTGGAGGGTGTTTGTAGGACTGATAGCTGCTGTAGGTCTCTGAGGAGGAAACTCTATCCCACTCTCACCCATCTCAGGGATGTTGTACCCTGCTAGAGACAAGGAACCAGCCAGAGAGAAGCGCCGAGATGGAGATGAGTAGTAGGAGGAGGATGAGGAGGATGTTTGAGTTGTCATCAGGTTGGTCATGGAAGAGAAGGCTGATGCATCAAAGAGCTTGTTGGTTGTACTGAAAGATGAGATGGCTATTGAGTTCCTTGATCTGGGAGCTATGGGCAGAAGAAACACAGAAAACATTATTACAAAACTTATCAATGGCTATTTGTGTGTACTTTCAACAAGCAAGCCAATTTTAGACTATATATGAAAGGGATATTTGAGGGATGTAGCAACATAGATCAATGCCTCCTGGATTAAAAAAAAAGCTTTTAGGAACAGAATTTGTCCCCCTAATATGAGATTATTCTAACTTTAGAGGGGGGAAATTGTTAAAGAAATTATTATTTTCTTTCAAATAGTAAATCTCTATGTGAAGTCAACTCTTAAAGTTCTGTTAATATCTGTTAATGTATTTCATGGGGGAAATGCCTTGATTCATATTAGAGTCATTTTAAAGCTTATCAACACTAGTGTGGCTAGGAGGGATTAGACCACACAGTGAGGTCACTGACAGGTGGCTATCTCATCAACTCAGCTCTCAAATAACATAAGAAATAGAGGATCATGCGGGACCAACAGGCACCGATTGGGGAAGTTTTTTATATAGAGGGAGCGAGTAGCTACAAGTAGGACAGTGGGGCTTTAACAGACGGCAGGGTGAACTCACCTTTGAGATTGACGGCTCTATCATGAATCCTATCTTGACTAGGCTTGATATCAAATGACTGTCTACTAGAGAAACCAAGTGATGAGAGTTCATGCTGACGGGTTTCTGTAAATAACAACAAAATACAAACAGTTAACATCATATAGAAGCTAGTTTGGTCAATTCTTGAAAAAATAATGTATTAAATCTATCATTGTTGTTCTAAATATGGGACATACATTATAGGTTGAAAACCATCATCAAATTTAGGAAGCCATTAGTAGTAACATTTATTATTTTTAGACATGTAAGATAATTACATATAAAAACACATGGAATCTGAGACTAATTCAGCTTGAAAATTTTTTTGAAAAATAATGAGAGATCTATTAACGCTGAACTACAACTACCATCTCATAATTCTATCCCCCATATAGGTATTCAGTTGTCCCTGGTATAGATAGTTTCCATGGTGAGTATTCCATTGCTGTTTAATCACCTTTACTCCTGAGTGCCTGATGCCATAGTAGTCTACTGATCTCAGTCGTCCAGACCCTCTTGATCTGAGGAGACCTTGCCTGCATGGTGTAAGCCTTGTCCGTTGACTTGCGTCTTCGGAACCAAACCTCAAGCTTTGTCCCAGTCTCTCCGATGCTCTCCGTCAGACCGATGTCTGACATCTGTAAGAAGAGAGAGATATAAGGAGAGTCATAGACAACAGAAAACGTTTGTATGCAGTGAAATACATTATCTGTACATCACTGTATAAAGTCTTAATCAGTTTTTCTTAATGAAGCGTTAAATCATTTATGGTGTGTCCATAAAACACTGCAACTCACAAAAGCAATATAGAGACACAGTTTATTTCAGGCTCACATACTACAAGTTTATATTCTCTTTGAATTGATAAAATAAGAAGTGAAAACAGAAATTCAAATAGTGTAACAGAGCAGCCATTTTGTTTCTTTCAAATACACATATGACAAGTGGTACCATACAGGAAAGTTGAACAATCCTTCTGAATGAACTAATGGGGCGTTTCACAAAACTTGTCATCAGTGACAAATGACAGTTTTTGTTATAAGCTACTGAAATCCTTGCTTCTGATTGGTTTTCAGCAGATTTGTCACTGATATTTGTCATTTGTCATTGAAAAAAGGCTTTGTGAAACAGGTCCTTGGTCTTACCTTGAGACTGAACTTGTACTGGTAGACATCATGTCCTTTACTCGTCTTCTTAGGTTTGCTGAATAGAATCAGATCTTCAAACAAGAAAACATGACGTACACACTTCCTGATCCCACGATACACCAAGAACTCAGCCTGAGAGAGAACAACAACACAAATAACAGGTATTTTAAATCAATCAAATAAACAAAAACAATGTTTTTTTTAGAAACTTGTAATTGAATTAATTGTGAACATAAGATCTTTCGAGAATGAGTCTTTCAGAATCCAAGGAGCTTCATTGGTTCTTTGAAACTGGAAAATACAATAAAAATGAACAAAAAAAAATTTGGGTAAGATTTTCCATGTATCAATGTACCCAATCTTATTTTAAGAGCTAAAATTTCACTTATTTGTTTGCATATGCATGTACACTGTTTCCTTTACTGCTTATTCATTCATTTAGGTGAAATATTGAGCCAATTCTTTTCTCTCTTTTTTTTCTTGGGGGGGGGGGGGTGTTGTTATGGTATCAACTTGATATTACATGTGTAATGACGATAATCTATAAGTTTAATATGACTCTTTACAGCTACCTTTTAATATACAAGTACTGTCATGTAGGATAAAACAAAGACAATCATTTTATTGCCAGAATGCTTCAAACTAATACATACCTGTCTGATAAGTTCACCTTGTTCTCTCAAATTGACCTAAAAAGAAAAGAAAGGGAAGAGATGAAAACGGAATTATATCTTTATATTTCAATATCCATGTGTTTTTTGTTTTTCTTCATCATCCTGATACAGAGTTTTCCTCAGATGAAGTTCTGTTTTGAGAATCTGGACACAGTGTATTAAAGACAGAAAGGTGAATACTGCTAGTCTGTGCTTATCCAGCACACATACATGTAGACTGTGTATTAGATTGAATAGCAATGCATTATCCATAGTATAATGGATTCAGTGCTTTACATAACCTGACGTTCATGTTTGTATCTTGTCATACATTCATCCAAACCTTCATCAAAGCAGGCATGGAGAAAGAGAGATCTCTACTAGATACATTCTTGCATTCAGTAATTGGAAGGTAGCCAGTAGAGGTAAGTGCTGATATTTTGGAATAAAGCTAGGAGAATGGTGATTGATAATTTGGCTGATTTGTAAGAAAATGCTGTCATTGCTGTAAAAGGAAAAGTGTTTTGTAATGTACTTGATTGATCACATGACCAGGGATATTACGGAATCAAGATATGACAAAGGCTGACCTTCCGATCACATTTCATCAGAAATGAAGTTTTTAGTCAAAATGAGGTCACATTCAACAATCTTGTGATTGATTGGTTTTCTATATGGAGTGCACTTCACTGCTTCAGAATCCTTGAAAGGAAATGAATTCATGAATATCATTTATGATTTTCATTTCTTTTTAGATTCTCTTAAAAGATTTTGATCCCCCTGCAGCAATATTGTAATATCTTTACTTGTACATTCTAAAAAGATAATTACTACTTACAAAAAATGTCAAGACTAATTCATAACCCATTACTGTGAAATAACGCATGGCTATTAACATAGAACGAGGCTGATCATTGTTTTCTTTAAAGCATGATAGTTTGTGACAGGCAAATAATCGACAGGAGAAAAATATGCATTTCTTAATGTGAAAGAACATTATAAAGTCAACTTTTTGTGAACATCAGATTAAGTTGATATAAAAGTAAGATCCATATACGATCTCAATTATATAATCAAGATGAACAGATATGGAAATGTGGCTGAAGAAGTGACTGAATTATATTTAATTCGTTTTTTTTTTGTGGGGCCTATTTATAAGCAATTTGCTTCTTTGTGATCCTGACCATATATTTGCTTGTTATTTTGCAAGTTTTAAGTCTTCTATTTTCTATTGTATGTTTTGCTTTTACATGTATATGATTTAATAAATTCTACTCAATCCAAGAATAGCATTTTAACAGCTTTCTTATCACTGCAATTTATTCAAATTTGCCTCCCGAATATTTTCCAATCAAAAAAAGAATAAACAAACTGAAAAACAAAATGGATAGTACTTTAAAGGTTTCAAATTTTCAAGTTGACAAAGTTTGATGATTACGTTTTAATAAATGTCTTTTTGCAATATTTTACATGTACTTCTTAACAGTCTTGAAGAATGTCTCAAAATGATCATCGGCTTGATAAGATTTTTTCTTAAATGAACGCTAACTTACATCACAGTCTTGTAGAGAATCCATTGCTAGAAGATCATTACCGTGTCTCATCTGAAACTCAATCATCACTTCTGCAGCCTGAAAAATAAATTTAAAAAATATTTTTGATTTAATTATAAGATTGACATATGATTCATCAATATCTGTCTGGCATACTTCCATGGCACTTCATCAGACTCTCTTAATTTCTTAGATGGTGTAACTTTTTGTTTCCTAAATCATGTTTAGTAAATAATTAATAATTACGGTAAAGGTCTAAGATGATTTGGACGGGAATGTACTCACTCTGAGATGGTTTTGTTCCTGGTCTTCAGTTCCACATTGTCTGATGAGATCTCGTAGGAGGAGAGCATACTTCCCTAGTCTCTGGACTGGCTTCAAGAGGTAACTAGCTAGGTCCATGCTGTCCTTTAGGCGACGCTGTTTGCTCTGTAAGTATCACATTAGTAATATATCAATCATTAGTAATATATCAATCATATGACAAGATTTCCAGCATGCATTCCCCTATAGGAAGAGTATCTTATTTACATTTGAACGTTCTTTATAACTTCTTCTTCTTCTTTGGTATACTCCTCAACGTCCCCTTAGGAACCAAACGAGGAAGTACTGATATATTATTACTATAACATGGTGTACTGATATATTATTACTATAACATGATGTACTGATATATTATTACTATAACATGGTGTACTGATATATTATTACTATAACATGAAGTACTGATATATTATTGATATAATCAGCTCCATAATGTTTCTTATACTCTTACAAAGTATAATGATCATTTTTTCATACTGTACTTAAAGCAAACAACAAAAGAAAGAACTCAACACACATTTATAATTATACAAATGCTTAAATTGTAGTTATGCCCACAATATCTTAAAATATTTAGTACTGTATATGCTTTAGAGAAGAAGAAAAATATGGTAAGAAAAAACTGAACAAATTAGAGCATGCACAGTCGTTAATTAGAAATGACTTACCCTAAAGAAGTGGCCGAAGTCAGCTAGTAAACTGTCTGATCTTGGTTTGTTCATGTTGTACAGGGCATAAAGACCAAACTCTTGTCTCTGTATATATACAAATAAAAGGAAGATAAATGTTATAATATTGAAAAAGAGCTTTCAGTCCACTCTGGTTCAGGCTTTGTGATGAAGACCTGTATGGTATATCTTTAAAGTATATCTTTAAAGTGCTTAGAGATGTCAGAAATGTATTAAGCGCTATATAAAAGCTGAATATTATTACGATGTACAACATCAAAACCAGTCATTTTTGTTCTGAATATCCCTCCTCTGCAATAATATAATGAAATGACTATAGATGATTTCAACAACAGAGGGCAGCATTCATAACACCAGATCAGGAAACCTCATAGAGACAGTGCAGATAGTTGTTCTATGTTCTCACACTCATTTCATAAGGAATTACATCCCACTAGCATCACTTTTCATTGTCTACCGGTATCCAAAAAATATTGAAGTGTAAGACTCTGAATTCAGCATGCAAGACAGCAACTTTATTTCTTGTTTTATATGAAACCTTTGAGATAATTCTGAAGGAATCAATATAGAATATCAAGGGAAATTAGTAAAAATGAGTGATTGACACAACTGAAATATAATACAGTCAGCTTTCAGAGAAATTCTTGCAATGCTAGCTGTATACTGAGAGGATTAGTGGTACATCTTGGTACTTACATGTTTGAGGAAGCACTGTCCCACCTGTAGGGGTGTAGTCATGCACCCTTTGAGCTCCCTTAGGAACACTCTTGAATGGAAGTGGTAGATCTTTTCTAGGTTACCAAACACAATGCTTCTCTTACCCCTCAATGCTTGAGGGATGTCTTCTCGGTCCATCTCAACAACGTAATTCTGTAAAATCATAAAAGGATTTACTTATTCAAATCAATGTTTTCATGTGTGTTGACCACACAATACAAACTCTGTATTAAAAAGAAAGATAAAACACTTGATTTTAAATAAGGACGTACTTAAGAAACAAATCAATTGCTTGAAGACATGAGAGTACTGGTTATGTTTGACACAATACAAACAAAAATAATCTTTGAATATGGTTGCTTCCTATGGTGCACAAACTGGAGAAAATTTTGCCTCTTGGATTTGATATACAATTTTAAGAGCAGTATTAGTCAGGGATGAGTTACGGGATGTGTTCTCACCTCTAGGATATACTTGAGAGCTAGCACATAGTCCTGTTCAGTCTGTATCACTTCATCAATGATGAGTAGTAACCGACGGTAACAAGGATGTTGCTTGGCTAGAGACTCCGCTTCTAGTTTGAAAGGATTGTCTGCCAGGCAGATGGATCTTCTTATATGACGGTTAGCATCTAGAGGTGACCATTGGTTCTGGAGGAAAACAGAAATTTAATATGATTACTCTATAGGAACTAGAAGTTAGGACAAGTAATAGTCGAGCATATATCTATGATGTGCTGCTTAATATGTACAGGCAGTAATGTTCATAAAAGGTACCAAGACAACGACAAGAAGAAAAACTTTATTTGCATAAGATAAGCATCTTACATGTATCTTGGGTATGAGACAATGAATAAGACCAAAAACAAGAGTCTCTCTTAACTTCACAAATTTCCAAAGGTGTCTGAAAAGTTGGTATAATATATGTGATTACTACATTAGTGTTGAAGGATATCTCTCTGTGTGTCTCTCTGTCTCCCCCCTCTCCCCCCCCCCCCCCTCTACCCCCCCCCCCTCTCTCTCACACACTCTCTCTCTCTTTCTCTCTCTCTCTCTCTCTCTCTCTTTTTCTCTCTGCAGGTCATTGAATGAGAATGCTACTGACTGTAGCATTCATGGATGAGACCTAGGATTCTGAACAATCTTTGTAATGTAGGACACAAATATCTTGTTCAATTGAACAATAAATTCCCCTTTAAAAAAAGCAATATCGTGCCTCGTTGAAAAAAGAGGAAAAATCTGAGTAATTCATGGACAGGCAGATTATTTCCTGGGTTGCATTGCACAATGTGCTCTGCAAATCTCTCTCTACAAATAAAAGACAAGGATAGAAGGAGCATTGCACAATACATATGAAACAAACAGGTACACCCCCCTCCCCCCTCAAGGAAAAAAGAGAAAAGTTCACTGTGTATCCAAAGGTCAATATGAATGATCCTGCCTCTGGTGGTACAACCTTTATTCAGTGGGAGAGGAGACATGAAATACACTGATTGCCTGATAGTGCTATGAATGCATGAATGATGAAAAGTTTACATTGTTACCTAAATAATCAAATAAAGTGCATGATACATTTTAAAAAAAAGAAAAAAGAATGAAATTGATTAATCATTATTGCTATCCTAGCTATCAGGGAACATTGCTACTTTCTTTGTCTTCTTTGTCTTCTATGTTCATTAACCGTCTATACTCTATGTCATTGTATCCCATGCCATGCTGGAATACAAACCATTCCTTTAACCTCTATCCCACCTCATTTGAATGATTATAAATGAAAAACACTGTGGGAGAGGAAAGCTACAAATGAATAACATCTTCATTATCATTCAATAGGTCTATCAAGGGAATACATTAATTACTCTCATTGTTCAATCAATACGGGCAAATTAATACTTCAAAGAACTCCAAAACTGAATTGAATTGTGGCCTTCCACTTCTTTTATGAATTCATGCTTAGCTCTGTTGAATGTTTCATGATTAACTGCATTTTCTTTAGTCCTTTAGTCCGATCGGCACTACACACAGAGAAATGATCAATTATTAGATCAGGCCTATTACAGACCAGCCTTGAGAGGAACACTTCTAAGGTTTTAATCCATGATGTACATGAAAGGGCTGCCACAAAGGTTACAGCAAATAGGATCTATCTCTCTCTCTCTCTCTCTCTCTCTCTCTCTCTCTCTGTTTCTCTGTCTGTCAGTCTGTCTGTCTGTCTTTCTTTCTTTCTTTCTTTTTCTTTCTTTCTTTCTTCTTTCTTTCTTTCTTTCTTTCTTTCTGTCTGTCTGTCTGTCTGTCTGTCTGTCTGTCTGTCTGTCTGTCTGTCTGTCTGTCTGTCTCTTTCTTCTCTCTCTCTCTTCTCTACCGAGTTTTGACATTTCAGCTTATGATAGGTAAATCTATTTAATCATGTTTGTAATTCATTAGTATCCACTATCCATGTGATGATTATGACTATTTTCATCTGCTAACAATGGACTTAATATAAGCTGAGTTTGCAAAGGAAATATAACCTGGAACAGATTTTAAAGAAAAATGATGATTTTTTGAGTTTTACCTGATCTGTATCTTCATCTGATAAGAAGTCTTCTTTCTCTCTGGTTTCTGTTTCTTTAGGAGCACCATCATTGTTCTGAGTTTCTTGACTTGTAGGTGTATCCCCACTGGTCGTCTCTTCACCTCTCTCACCTTCCTCTTCCCTCTCTTCAAACCCTTCATCTAACCGTCCTAGACTCGTAGTCCTTATAACCTCATTCTTAGCTGCTGGAATAGGTTCAAGCTCCCTGATAGGTTCAATTGTTTTACATGTTCTTGGATGGCGTAACGTCACAACGCTATCTTCAGTTGTGCTGTTTGGTTGCGTCCCTGTCGTAGCACCTGCTGTGGCACCCGCTGCTGCTGCAGCTGCTAATCGTTCTGATGCTTTCTCACTCACTGATATTCCTGAGTCTACCGATCCATTGCTGTGCATAGAATCACGCTGGTGTTTGGCTTGGGTTGTCTTAGGTCCTTTACGCAAGATTTCCTGAGCAACATTTGATGCTGTCACAGGTTTGAGGACTTCCTCTGTGATCTTATCGGGTGAGTCTGTTGATGGTTTCCTTTTAACAACATCTGAGGGTGTCCTTCTAATGCGAACCTGAGTGTCTCCGTTGGTATAAGAATTGCGCTGAGCAAAACGTGGGTTGCGTAACATGTTCCGGAGTTGTTCCATTCGCTTCTGGATCATTCCATGAGTCTCTTTGCATCGTCTTTGGGCAAACTCTCCCTGCTGCACACACTTGCCCTTGTCAAGAGTTCGGGCAAGCTGAAGCATTTTCTTGAAGTCCTCGTCGCTAATAACAGGGTTCTCTCGAAGGTATTTCTCCAAAGTACAAAGATGGACGCGACATCTCTCCCGATTACTTGTCTCCTCGATACCAAGCATAGCTACAAACTTCATTCCTCCTAAAGACCATTCATATGCCTGTAAGAAAACACAATCAACAATTAATATCACTTTAGATGAAATATGAAACATGTATTATAATAAATACATTTATACTTTAAAAAAAACATACCATGAATATAAGTTTCCTTCTTCACAGTGGTCAGTAGAAACTAGAAATAAAAGTTGAGATGAGAACAAATTTGTTCCCAGCTACTTACATCGTTCCAGATATCTTCCATATTCTGATAAAACTTGACTCTGGACTCCATTTTAAGATTGTCCCTCTCACCACCACCTCAAGACTCACAACTAAAAACCTTCCTCTAACAACAAAGCAATAGGCTCCTAATCATCCAACTATTACATAACATGGTTTCATCTTCTTATAGTCTCAAGGTGCAGACCCTTATCATGGCTTTCCAACCTTTTTTTGCACTTTGTTACTCATCCAATATGGTAATACCTTCATGAGGCAAGTACTTTATTATTGACATATAAGAACTTTACAAACTTACACTAAATCAATTAAAAACAAATTTAGAAATACAGTTGTAAAATTTATTCAATTGCTATGTTATGCTTCACTTATCAATACAATTTCTCTCCAAATGCCCAGGCCCCCCCCCCCCCACCAAAAAAAAAAAAGTTTGCTGTACGTTATCTTAAGGTACAGTATCTAAATATTATGATACCTACAACCTAATCTTCCAAGAAATCTTCAATCGTAAATCGGTTGGACACAAACGTCTTCTATTTCGTTCTGTTTTGTTTCATTTACGTTAAGAAGATGTTTCATCATCTGAGACTAGCCATAAATAAACAATGATCTTGAAGGAAGTCTTACTCACATGGTTTCAAGAAGACCAATTCACCATGGTATACAACCTTGTAACCTTAGTATATTACCCCTTCTAATCCTTCCTAATCTCTTACACCAATCTTCAACTCATTAAACACCGGTCATAAAGATCTTTGTTTGTTATGTGTCATGGGTTACTAGAGCTAGGGTGACAATGATCATCATCAATCTATACCCTTTTTTAACGCATTTAAACAGCATTTCTTTTCTTCCTAGAGGAATGATCTGAGGAGCGATCTTCATCAAACAAAGATTGTTTGGAGATTTTGTGAAGAACAGGTGTTCAAGTATAAAGAGACAAAAGTGTTGAAACATAAAATCACAAAATGAAGAGTGTCAGGTGAACACCACATTTAAAGTGTTTTCAAGAAGAAGAGATTTGAGAATTGCTTAATAAGTATTAAATTAATCGGGACAATGAAATATGCTTGATATAAACAACTTAATGACCTACAATCTGGACGCTGTTACCACTTGATATATTATCTATCAGGTTTTTTTAATCACTTGTTTACAGTTAGTTTTACAGTTAGTTTTGCCTGTTTGCTTCATTTATATTCTGCATGAATGCTTATCAATATGAATCAAGATTTACGACCAATGAAAGAGGCCTGAGGCTGTAGACAAATGAGCTGGTGCATCCATCTTGGTTGATTGGTTCCCTTTAGATGCATCAAACCATCACACCATGCACGTGAAATGAAGGCATCCAATGGAACAATCCTTACATTGTTCTATTCATATCACAGTTACCATGCATGGGAGCTCATCTGTGAATTCTCTGATTTCATCCCCCATAGTATCTCTGCAGCAACAAATGGCTGGATTGGATTCAATGCCATTTCACACAAGACTGCAGGAATGATATGGTACGAGTGTGTAGGGGAATGCTATACCAAAATTCTTGTATTCTAATGAAAGAACAACAATTATTCAAGTCATAACGTTTTTCCATCTTTCTTTGTTTATTCCTGACCACCTGTAAATCCTAGCATTCATCAAAGTCATCCTGTATTAAATTAAATCTATTCAGATCTATTCTAAGACAAAGACCATCAAATTAACCATCCTTTGTTTCAGGATTTAGTTGATTTGTTCATCCTGTATGAATTTATCCGGTCATGAAATCAACGAGAACCAAGCAAAGAGCACAATACAATACAATACAATAGAACTCCAATCAGATTCCAAAATATGGTCATTTGGCATACAATTCTGGCATAGATTGCAAAACATTAGAGAAGGAAATGACCAGATTAACTTAGCTGCTTTACGTTAGTTCCTCTTTATAAGAATGTATAGGTTGCCTCAAGGAGAATCATTCATTCCTCCACTATCGCTTATTCTTGCAAGGTAACCTGCTGAATCAAATTATTTCTTATTCCTATTCACTCTTCAGCCTTCTAGATAATAATGATTTGAGCAGATTAGCTAAAAACTTAAATTAATGAGAAGATTATCCATTGTCCCATCTATGAAGATTTAGTCCTAGCCTTAACATATTTCACCTACCAAGCTATCTTCTTGACAACCTTCCATCTTTCTTGGAAAGAATGTTGAGTTCATTAACCTAATCTACTAGCCGGCTCTGATGTCACTTCCGATTTCTTTCTTCGTACCATTGGAAGGAGAAGTTTATGAGCTATAGTAGTGATTTGTGTGTTGACTCTTAGTAATAGAGGACCTAGGTTAATATACCTCCAGCCACATCAAAGACACTCTTAAAGAGCTTAAACAAACATTAGTGGCACCTCCATCACCCATTAATATCAGATTAACCCTGGTCATGAAAAGATTCCTGACTGGTCAATGGTCAAGTTCAACATTAAGTGGTCCCACTTGGAGAATTAATGTGAAGAAACAAATGATTAATCTAATTTTCATATGAATAAGGATTATAATCAATGTTAAACTGTGTCTGATTGTGGTGATGAAACAAGCTGTCTATCCTCTGAATTCAGATTAAGATTAGATTAAGAATTTTTGAATAGTTCTAACTGTCTGTTGGAATTGGATTTAAAACCATAATAAGTATGGCTTTGTGAATATAATGACTTTGATCCCTTATAGTGGACACTAGGATTAAATGCATTCATTCTTTACAGTGGCTTAAAGTCAATTAAACCATGAGAGGATAAAGAGGGTCAACTCAATCAAAAAGAGATGAAAAATAAGGCTAAAGGGCCCCAAATCACCCCCCCAAAAAACACTTCCATTATAACAGTAGCTCAATAACAAAGATTGACACATGAGGCACGTTGCACATAATGATCTAACGTACAACATACTTGTACCCTGCATGTTGTACCCCCTTCTCATATTATCTCTATGTCTGAATTCATTACAACCGTATAAAGATCAAAGTAGTGACAAAGCTCTATGATTCATCATGAAGTTACATGCAACCATTCCTATCTATATGACCTGTCTCCTTTTCATGAGACAACCGTCATGCTCATGATTGTACAAACAAGAAATATCCTAGTCCTAGTGATAAACCAATACACAATGTTTAATAATAATAATAAACCGTTTAGAGTGGCAATGGTAAATATACTAAAAGATTCCTAAACAATGCGCTTTCTATCATAACAAGAAACGTGTTCTTCTCTCTCTCTTCAAATACTCTGATATCATTCTAGTCTACAAATGGTTCTTAATTTCAATGCAATATGGTATATGGGTACATCTAACATCAAACTACAACATTTCATAATCCTTCATCATTGGTTGTCTTTGCACATCTTGACTTGGTAATCCTCTGATCTATCTCTGGTCTAATATGTTTGTTTAATAACTTCAGGTACCCTAGTCATCATTAGCAAGTGTGGACCATTATGTTGTTAGGTCTGGGTTCCTTCTATAAACCTATGAATCACCTTTAAGTCATAACAAGGGACCAGCTGGCTCATCTCAACAGAGAACAAAGAATACCAATGACATTAAATGTGTTAATTTCCAAGGAATTTACATATTTTGTTAATTTCTTTAGTAATGTTAGTAATGTTTGATCTTTTTGGTAATTTGAGTAATGTCAATTTGTTAAGTTATGATAGAAATATTTGATTTTCTTGTTAATATAAGTAACGATAATTAGTTAAGTTATGTAGGTAATATTTTGTTTTCTTGGTAATTTGAGTGATGTTAATTCCATTAGTAATATCGATTTTGTTTGAAGTAATTTTGATTTGTGTACATGTACAGCGCTTTGAAACTTTTGTCACAAGCGCTATATAAATTTGTCATATTATTATTATTATTAATGAGTCTAGAAGAGATTGAGCAATTCTAAGAATAACAACTTCATGATCAATCTATCTTCTCATAACAGATTGTATCAATCATCATAATTAGGGGAATAATTAAACTCTCTCTGACCCTGTCATTACATTCATAACACAAGAAACTCTGGTATTGTTGCTGCAGAACTTATCGTTTTCATCCGTAACACCTTTTAGTTTTGTCTTTAGCATGGTATATAATTCCTATTCTACCTCTCCCTCTTTCTAAGTTTCTTGTTTCAGAATCATTTTGAAAGTTTCCTACCCCCTATAGGTTACTATCTAATTGCTCATGGAGCCAGGGGAGTGTTTCACAAAGACTAAGATCGAACTTAAGATGGATTTAACTATGGCAGGCTATTCATGCCACTGGTTTTTTCCTTCAATAATAAATTATCAACAAATGTAAACTCTGTAGATTTGTGGCCATGATGTGTATGTCCCTTGAGAGACCAGTGCCAGTAAATGGTGGGAAAAAACAGTGGCATAAACGGTCTGTCATGGTCATGTCCAACTCAACGTCGATATTAGTCTTTGTGAAATACTCTGCAGATAGCTCCTGTATACAACGGGTTAAGATCAAAGACTACAAACCTTATCCAGCGTGGTGTAGAGCCAGACAGCTTCCTCTATCTCCTTGCGTTTATTCTCCAGACTCTGACTGAATGCATGTAACTCATCCTTAAGATTGCCCGTGAGTGAGGGGGTCTTGAGGGGTGCACTGGCGCCCCCCTCACCACCACCTGTTTGATCTGCTAGGGTGTGGATCTCCTCTAAGACATCTTCACCACGACCGATGTGTTTCTGTAAGGTATAAGAGGAACATGTAGAAAAATGAATGAAAAATATCACATACAAATAGATGAAACATTTCTTTCTTTAAAATAATAGGTACCGGTATGTGTGAAAATATAAGAGAGAGAAAAAATGTTTGGTTAAGGCCTCATATGGTTGCCTCTAACTTTTAAAACCACATATTTCCAAGCATCATACTATTCAGTGCTACTATCATCAGAAAGATAGATTTTGATAACTTCAAAACAAGTTTGAGAAAAGTACATGTATGTTCAGATCCATGCCAGTATGTCATGCCTCCCTAACCTTAGCAGGCAATGAAATGCACATATCACAACATCAAATAATGGTCATTATAGCTACACAATGCCCAAGAGTCTATTGCTAATCACCTTGATAAAAGTAATTCATATTCTTTGACATATGGAATATACCATTTCATACATACAAAAGTCACAGGTTATCCCTCTACATGTCTTTTCAAACTGTGGTTTTGGGTTTAAGCCTTGGTTTACCACAATCCAATCATTTCCTATGTGACCTAATATTTGACAAGAAACATCCGACCTCATGCTAAACAATCTATGAGATTGCTTTTATTCCACGACCACTATTGTAAAGGGACATCCTCTTTCTTTCATCAATCTATTTCATTACTCATCTCAATACTACTTGATCTTGTTACAATGTTTAGTTGAAATATCATACATTGAGGTGCACATCCACATGTACCATCCCCCTTAATTTGAACAACATTAAAAGTACAAAGTCTAATGCTATGGTCACATTACCAAAAAGTAGGCTGCTCGGCGGCCGAGCGGCGAGTTTTTAACCAATTCTGCCCGGCGGCTGGCCGGCCACCGAGCGGCGGCCGCCCAGGCACCGCCCGTTTTTAGGGCATTGCTCGGTCGCCGCTGAAGTTTTAGCGCGGAGTTAAAATTTGGGCTGCGTCTGCTCATTTTTCACTCGCCGCCCAAAATACGCTCGGTGCCTGGGCGGTCGCCGCCCGGGCACCGACCTAATTGCTGGGCGATGCCTAATTCCAGCAGCGACCAAGCAGGCTACTGATCGGTCGGTCGCTGCTCTGATTTGTGACCATAGCTTAATGCACTATGTGAACTGACAGACTTCTAACATGATGAATATGGTGTTGTCAAATTTGTCCATAATCATCCAGACCCCTAAGTTCTAAATGTATGTGGTGTATGATATGCCACAGACAGACTTCCCTCAAACAGTATTAAGGTAGAGGTCTACTAACCACAGCATTGAAGTAGAACTTCTCAAAGTCTTTCTGGATGCTGATGACTGAGCTGAGAGAGTCAGGTGACATGTCGTCCAGCTGCTTTAGTTTCTTGCTTCCATCGGTCTTCACCCATTCACTCACCTTCAAGCCAAGGAGGAGAAAAGAAATCATGATTTAGTCATTCAACAATGGATAAAGAGGTATGGAAATCATAAAGTTGAAACTTGATAAGAGTGTAAGATTGTAAGATTTTATTGACTCTATCGACCCCCTCTTGGGGTATGAGAGTACAAACATATTTACAACGTAGTGTCAATATAACAATAGTATAACAATGATAAACATGTGATAATATGAACAATAATAAACATAATATGATAATATGAACAAAGAAGAATCCTTTGAAAATGACTATAAATCAAAGGGAAAGTCCATCTTGGCATACCATCATAACCCTTTAACCCTTTTGCTATAAAAAAAACCTGGAATACCCTTAATTCTATAGATTTTGTTTGTCAATCAGATATGATTTTTTTTCTTCTCATTATCATTCGGAAGACACTTCTCAGTTTAGAACCAAAGTCTGTCAAAGTGGGCTCAAAGGCTTAAGTTGGTAGAAGATGTTTTTAGTGTCATATTAAGGTCTAACTAAATAAAATTTATAAATGAGAAAAAAAGAACTTTAAAAAAAATGTCATTGAAGAGGAAATACACCATGATTATAAATGGTTAAAAATCTGAAAAACATTCCATTTGACATTTCACAGTAGCAATTCAACATATATGACAGCCCCATACGTTTCCTGCATTTCCTTTTCTTTTTCCCCTCCCCTCCCCCTACCCCTCCTCCAACCCCCATCTCTCTCTCTGTGGTCATTACAGTAAATTCCAACCAATTTCCTGCCCATCAACCCTTTCTTCCATTTTCTAGAAAAAGAGATTTAGCATCAAATTTTTGGCACAGGGTATATTGTTATTTGTCCTTGTGTTACTTAACAACAGGTCTAGCCCCATAGACTGACCATAATGACTGTAGGTATGAATAGAGTCCACAGACAAAACTCTTTGTTGTAAAAGAAAAAGTACTTTCTATTTCAAAACATTCATTGTTTGACTTCAACAGCTCTGAAGCTGGCTAGTTGATAAAGTATTCCTTTTTACAAATAGGTATGCACTGTGAAAAAAACAAGAAAAGATGTGGCCTCTTTTAAGACAGTGATATAAAAGGTAATAAGAGTTAATATGAATTAATGGTTAACTATAACCTACAATATCACAAAGAGGTTGGCTGTGGAATGCACAGCTTGACACAAACAAGAGTCCAGTAAACATGGCACACCAAATTTTTTATTCTGGACACCTCAAATTCAAGATGTAAAGAGGGGCTAGCTTAGAACTCACATATCTCAAAACTTTTTCTCCACACACCCAGTAAGAAGAAGTCCTACTAAGGGAATGTAAGGACAGTTTAGAACTTGACTTTCCCTGAGTATGTACTGTTAAACCAGAACCTTCAGACACATGAAATAGGTTTGTGAATTTCAAGAATGGTTAAAATTCACAACATTTCAAGCTGAGAAATGATTGAAGTACGACTGGCATAACATCAACTTGTTTCCATTTGTATAAGTTTCTTGCGATAAGAATCGCTGTCATTAACAATCCATAAGAGTTTTATGTTGTGAATGTTTCTGGTTTTATAGAAACATGTTCTGTAGGAATCTATGCTGACAAATAATTGAACTTATTGAAGTACAACTGGTATAACATCAAATTTTTGTATAAGTTTCTTGACATGAAAACCACTGTCCTTAACTAACCATGAGAGTTTCATTGTGGAGAGTGTGTGCAGCGCTTCGTAACTACAAGGAAAAGGGGCTATATCAAATATCTTTTGGATTGGATTGGATTGGATTGAATGTTTCTGGTTTTATGGGAAAGTGTTGTGTTTTTTCTAATACCTTGGTAGACTCCTCCTCCAGGATCTGTAGATGTAAAGACATCTGAAGATGTGCTAGTCTTCTTTCAGTCATCTCATCAAGTCGACTGCATGTCTGGCGTACTTGCTCAAAGAGAGTTGTTACACAGGTAATAGCATCCCTAGATGAGATAGAAAGATAGAAAGAAAAAGAGATCTTCAGCATGAGTTGCTCGTTCATTTTTTTATTACAAATATCAGGAGTATCTTCTTCAAGAGCGAAGCCCGCGCGAGCCTGTTGTCCAATTTCTAGCACCTGTATACTAACTGTATTTCCAAAACTTTAAAGCCCCTCTAAAGTGTTGGGAGCCCCAAAAATTAAATGGCAAAATTTAATTTAAAATTGTATCATAATGTGAAAGAGGATGTCATTTTAGAAACGTTTCTGCAATGATTTTCAAAACAAATGTATTTGAAGTTGTATATTGAAAGAATGCAAAATATAGGTTTTCTGCATACAACAGAAAACCCAAATTAGGTTTTCTGTTATCAATATTTGTCTTCAAACACATTTTTTTTTTTTTTGGGGGGGGGGGGAATATTTGCAGAAGTGTGTCTTCTCTACATTATGATGCAATTGAAGCAAAATTTTGCCCTCAAATTTTTTGTGAATCTGGGGCTCCCAACACTTTAGAGGGGCTTTAAACAATGAAAGAGATCATAGTGGAGAGGTGGGTGGATAGATGTACATCAGCAATGAACAGACGACGTCAATAACTTCCATTATAATGTGTAGGAGTGAGATGTGTTCAGATTACATGCTGTACAATGACACACTGATCATATCTCTTAAATCCGCCATGTAACATCTAAAGCAAACATTACAATCATTGCATGTTGTGGCAACATCATCTCAAACAAATTTCAGAATAATTACACACCCTCATGAAAATAGAAATCAATTATCTATTTTCTGTCTCTTACACAAAAGGGGCTTACATCTTAGCCATATATGCCAACCTTTCTGCATATACCAGTAAGGGAAGTTATAATTGTTCATAACATGATTTCAAATCTGTGGTCTGTGGTCTGGTGTTCATCCTCTTGACTATGTTCCAACACATGTCTTAATAAAACAGCATGTTACGGTTTGTCTGCCAATGAGGCTTGTATCCTATCAACACTGAACAGACGGGCAACACAACAGATGCTAAATACGTCATACTTGTACAAAACAGGAAACAAATAGTTACAAGAAAATGTTTTGTAAAATCAGCTTAAAAATGGATATTTTGAATTAAATGTGATGCAATATGGTAGGTGAGAAATGCTGTCATAGTCAAGACATCAAGTTTTCAGAATATATAGAGGGAAACCCAGGAGCAAAATATTGTCTATTTGGAGCGTTTTCTCATATACCTTAGCATCAAGTAAATGCCCTAGCTTCTAGCTCCACAAAGACAATCAACAAGTTCCAAATATTTAATGTAAAATGCACTATTCATCAATGTCAAAGACAGTTACAAGAAGGTTTATCACTGAACTATATATATCTTGGTTTATTGATGATCTATTGTATAAACTGGCATAGAGATCAGATTGTCACTGAAATAGCTCATGAGGAGAGTCAGAATGGGACAGGAAATCTTGAAAAGTCTAATAACAAAGCTTGTCTTGTCATCCCTTTTAAGAAACACAGTGTAATTATTGATTAACTTTAAGAGGCTGGTAAAGCGATAACAAAAGGTGATAGGTAGTATATGTATAAGCTGGTGCAATTTCTTTGAAAACAACTCTAAAAGGATGAAAGTACAGAGATCACAATGCTCTCTACTGATAACAACTGTAATGGTAGCATTGTAATAATAATCTGCATTCATTACCAAAATACAATCCCACTTGTGTATTTTACTTTTTAAGAATAATTGGAAGTCTATTTGGAATGGCAGAAAAATGGCAAATGTAAAGTAGGTTTCAAGTAGTACTCTAAGTATGAATTGTGTGATCTATAGCTAGCAAGAAGTAACTGAATAATTGGCATAAATAAGTATGAACCTCTAATCCCAAGAGTAGTAGACAAGGTTCACTGTACTTTTAACTTTTCAATAATGGATGGTACAGGAAATGTTCTGTAAAATCACATTTTCTGCTCAAAATAATCTGTCAGTCATACTGAAACCATAAACCAAACAGGAAGTATGATTACTAAACTCTTTCCCATTCACATTGTTCAAGATAAATAAAGTCTATGTCAAGAAACACAATCAAAGAATTTCTTCCAAATGATTTATATTAAACATACTCACCCATACTCATGAGGACTTGCAAATAAATCCACCAAGGTTTCCCGGAAATTTGTACATAGATCCATTAAAATGTCACTCAGAGAGATATAACCCAACAAACGTGATCCACGGCCAACTTACAACTACCTCAAAGTCATGAACATCAACGTGATAATACACATTCCTGTGACCATATAGACAAACACACTCCAAGCAAGTTGGCTTTTATTTAAAGTAAGGTCATAGCGATAACAGAAAAGCAGGCTCCAACAAAATGAAAGGATCCCAAAACTCAGCAAATACTAATCTACCCCTTTTACTACCTCTTCAAAAGAAGCTGGCAAACAGAGTGAACAGGTTTGGGATATTGTGCGAATAGCGGCACCAAGGAGACAAACAGGCGGTAAATACCATACAAGTCACGCATCATTGCAAAACATGAAACACAGTATTTAACCAAAGATCAGGTAGTATTAAAGGAGGGATCCATTCAACAAAGATATCAATTCATCAATGCAGAGAATCAATGAATTAGCTTCATAAAACTTGAAAATATGTTTTTGCATGGCCCCGTACTTCAGAGTGTAGGTGACTCCCCACAGCAAACAGATTCCAGTCAAAAATTTCTTTCCATTTTTTCAGGTCACTGATCACGAAGAGCCAACGCTCTCTCTCTCTCTCATAATTGGGAGCTGCGAATGACTCCTATTTATGATTTCTTGTCAAGGACCGACACTCTGATCATTCAAGAATAAAATATAGTCCAATCTAAAGAACAAACAAACTTTTTAACACGGGATGAATTGGAAAGAAAACAAATTGTCACAAAGGCATTTGTTCAGTTGAATGTCACACAAAAGCAAAAGTTAAATCAGGATTGTGCATGTGACAATATCTAACCTTGCATCACAGGTTTCTATGTTTGGTTTTCCTATTATTATTTCAACCACAATTATATACCAATTTCCTGACTATAATTAAACTAAGCCTCTGACTCCCAAACTACTCTGATTAGCTTGTTAATGTGAAAAACAAGTTTAGACCACACTGCACAATCCATATCTGTTTGTGTTATAGGTATTTAAAAAAAAAGACACATCAAGGCTGAAACAGGGAAAGAAAATGCATGTCATACACTCATTTACAATTTTGTTTTGTCTTTTAATGGGCCATTATCTTTAAAATGTTGAAATATCTCTTTGAGATTGCTCTTTAATCTATTAACAATGCAATATTCTCCTGATCACAAAGACAGCTAGTGCTTGTATATCGAAATTGATTCTGAATTAAATGAAACAGAAACTTACTATGATAAGATATTAATCCTTCAAAGTCTTGGACATGATCCTGGGTACATTTTGATGAATTATGAGAAAATAATTTGCATTTACTTGTTACCAGAACTCACAAGTTTTCTTATCTGGAAGCCATATCACCACCCACATGGTGAGAATCAACTTCTAAAAGCAAGCTACAAATAAACAGGGCATGAAATCATTGGGGTAGGGAGATTTTCTCAGGTTTATTTTTACTTTGCCTCCATAGATCAAAGATTGTTTACAAAATGTTTCATGATACCATCACAATAGAGAAATCAGACTTATTGTCAAAAGTAAATTGAGTGTGAAATAAAAAGATTTAAAAGATTGAGTTCAATACCTGTTTAAAAAAAACATGTTTGGTAATGGTAACACATAGGGGCAGTGATGATGCCCAAAGGGGGCTAGCAAAACCAAATTGGTTTTCAAAATGACAAAAAGCAGCAATAAAAAGTGCATAGAATTATTATAAATGAGTGTAATCAGCATACAGGTTTCACTGCTAAGTGTAGCAACAACAGGCTATTTGGTTTGGTATTCATGTACAAAATTGAATGTAGCTATATTAAATCTGTTTGATAAAGTATCAATATTGAAAACAGCATAGTAAATAAGAAAGCGATGCTGTAAGATAGTTTAAGAGTTAGGCAATGTCAACATACAGTCTTCATATTTTATCAGGATAGAAGTTTACTCACTTTTTACATGCTCTTTTAATCAGTTACACTACAATATTTTTTACATCAAATAGTAAATTGAAACAAGTTTTCTTCCATCAAATACTTGAAATAATTTCTACTCACTTATTTTCTGCTGCATGATTCAATAACCAAAAACTAACCTGAACTTTAAAAGTGGAAAAAATTGTATTTCCGGTTCTATTGTCACTGATTTCAATGAACTGTTCAATGTGGAACTGTTTCACTGGTGCAGTAATAAGTTTGGAGCACACTTGATGAAGATGGATTTACTGTCTGTAATATACAATGGAATTAAATAACCTTCATCCTGTATAGAAATCAGTTGACAATGACTAGTCAATCTGATTTCTATCCAAAGTTTGGTTCACTTAATTAGTCATGTGACACCTATTAGTCACATGACAGGCATTGACTCAATCAAATGATCCAATAACCACAAAGGAAACTTCACAACGTCAAAAACCTCTGTAAATCTATACATTTTTTGCACAGATATCTATTTTAAAAATATCATGTAGTGCTATTTTGAACCTTTCTAAATTGATGAGATTATTTTTAAAAAATCTGTGCACATTGGTGACAGAAATATTGATTTGTGTTGTTGTTGTTGTTGTTGTTGCAAGTCAACACTTCATTACAATGGAGTCCCACCCCCCCCCCTTTTTTCCCCCATCAGGAAAATACTTGATTCCACTGCAATATTCTTATGCTCTTGAAGCCTTTCGAATCTGGATGTTATTCTTTGATTTTGATGCAGTAAAAAGTGTATTACATGACAATAAAGATTTAGGTTATATTGATCCGAAAAATTCAGATGTCATGCTTAAACATGAGATTCCTGTTAGGAGGGAACATCTCTATGCTCTGCCATGTCAAA